ATGTCGTAACCGTGATATCCTTTTGTTTTTCGTTGTTTGTTTGTTCTTGTTTGATTATATTTTGTTGTTGGACCTTGAAGTTTCTTAGTTTATTTATGTGACCCAGTCAGGCCGTTTAGTAAAGCCCGTCGCGGGTGAGTTAGGACCTTGCCTCAACCGTGTAGGGAACGCTTTGCCTTGGCAAATGTCCGGTGAGATCGGATCGTGGAGGATCCGATGTGCGATTGGGATTGCACCCGAGTTCACCGGGGAAGACCTTTAAAGTGGACGGTGAGCCGCGCACTGCATGTGATGGGCAGCTGGAGTACAACGCCTTGAAAACCTAGGCATGCGTGAACTCTGAAGCCAGCAGGCCACGGGGTTAACTAGCAGGCTTGGGTTAGCTGCGGCCTACCTAGCCTTGGCTTAGTCCAGTGGGCTGAGGGGGGAGTAGGACACAGCTTGTCCCGAATGTGAACATGGTTGTATCAATTAAGGCACCGAGCATGTAGGCAATCAAACCAGGCTACTTGGTAGTTGTGTAGCTCTAGCATATTTCCTTCTACGGCGAAGGGGTAAGCACCCAACAGCCGTTACTACCAATTGTCTGTACAAACAGTTAAATCTGTATATGGGACGCTGGACCCGCTTTCCAGCAGGTGATGCTCCCCACCAATAGATGGAGCCTCTCCCCAGGTGCTAGTGGTGTCTGCTCTTATCAGCACCACTAACACTGGCGGGTGCTAGAAGGAGCCATAGGTCGGGGGTTCGAGGCTAACAAGCAACAAGTGGGACGGAGCATGGAGGAACCGAGAAGCGAGCAGCTGCATGGGACACCCCGGTTTTGTTTTGATACAACCGCGGACTGTTGAAATAAAGACCGGTGTCTGAACACGGTGTTGAAATAAATACTACAATTCTTTATTTTATTATTTTTGGGGAAAAAGTAGAGAATCCATTCTTTTTTTCTTCTTAAGAAGCTATGTTCTTCTCTCAATTTCACCTCACACAACCTACCTACCACTACTCCTAATTGTGGGCATATGGGGAACCCCGTGGCAGCCAGAACCGTGTTCACGAGAGAACATGCGGGGGCTACTCCCGACCTGCAGGTGAGCGATACCGGCTAGGGGACAGCTGGTAGCATCAGGGACCATGCCAACAGGACCAATCCCTGTGCCTCCCCTCAGGTCCCCTCCCCTACGAACATCAGCAGACTCTGCTCAATGCCCATCAGGTGGCAGGCGCCACGCATGCCCAGGAAGATACATGAGGCCAATGGGGATTGAACCCACGACCTCCTGAATGCCACTTGCGTGCCTTACCAACTGAGTTAGGCCAAGACTCTAAGGCCGGGAAAAAATAGAGAATCAATTATCCAGCTTCCCATTCCTATCAACATTCACTAACCACTTCGATGTCTTTCCCCGGCCAATACTACAATTCTGAATTACCTTGGGCTGGTCAGTTCGATGATGGTATCTCAAGGTCGCCGCCCATTGCTGGGTGAAGCAGGGCGCACCTGAATTCGATTGCCGTAGAGGCTAGATGAATTCGGGATAGTGGTAGTGTGAGTATGCCCTGAGCGGATGTTATTGTACTCGACCCGGTGGCAAAAGCGGGTGGTCCGACAGACCGTGTGGTGATTTTTGTTTTATTTATTGGTGTGTACGTAGCTGTTGTCGGACCATGCGATGCGCTGCGCGATGGAGGGACGGGGACGAAGAAGAGTTGACAACAACGAGAATGAACAAGAGATGAAGATGAACAGGGAGAGGAAGATGAGGGAGCGGAGGGTGCTGAACTTGAGCGTTTCTTGGCGGATTTCGATGGGGTAACGTGCTAGACAGGGGTTCTGAACGCGGGCGAATCGAATGGCGGACTTAGTTCGGCAGATGGGGCAGTGCATGGGGAGGTAGAGAAGAAAGGAGATTCATGGAGACGTCAAGGAGAGGACGAAAACGGGAGTGAGTAAGGTGTATCTCACTAGGTTTGGCGGCATGGTAGTTCTAGGCTGCGTGTAGGGAAATGGCAGCGTAACTTCCCACGTTCTAGCGGAAGATTCATTCTCATTTTGCACATTTGGTGAGTGGTGGAGCAGGGCATGTGGCCGCCATCCTATGGGTACCGTGGTTACAATCGCCCCCCCTTGATTACCACCTCCTTTGCTTCATGACGGGCATCTCCTCCGACTCATAATGGCTGTTGCCACTCGAAATCGTACGTGGCGTTGTTACCCCGTCGTGAAGTTGTTTTCGGTCCTCCTCTAACGTCGACTGCTCAATGTCTGTGTCATAGCGCCTGGTTCCGTGCATGACTCGCATGTTTCGCGTATGTCTGATCTGTACGGACGTGCAGAGGCAGGTTTCGAACCGTTTGCTTGCCGCACGAACGTGTTGATGGATGACACTTTGGTTGGTAGCTACCTGTTGGGTGTTTGTGGGTACTTCCACCCTTCCATGGCTGATGACAGCTTTCGCACAGCCCACGAGATCATAGGAAGATGTTGCCGTCAACAACAAGTTGTCTGCTCTTTGGTTGACTTTTTGGCGCCGGCTGAAGGGTGTCTAGCGTTGCTTCAGGAGGAAGCACACCCCAAACACGAAGAATGTGTGCCATCAATATCTCGGCTGCTGCATCCTCCATTATATCATTATCAAAGACAGGATCCATGTGGACCCCTTGCTCTTGCGTAGGTACGGGAGACACAATCATCCGGACATGAGCGTTGTGGAACACGATGGAAACTGGGCGAATTGCAACATCGGCAGTCGGAAATCGTACACGGACTCTACCTGGACCAACGTTGTCGAGAGGCAATGCTGAGGGTGCTGGTTTGACATGCCCAGTATATGTCCTGAAGGTTAACGGACCACAGCAGAGCGGCGTGGGTGAGTAGGCTTGTTATGGGGGGGGGAGGCTCCGCCACACCCTACGCTAAGAGAGAGAGAGAGAGAGAGAGAGAGAGAGAGAGAGAGAGAGAGTGGTAGGAGCCAGAACCAAGAGGTTCTGGAAAAAAAAAGAAAAAAGAAAAAAAAAAGGCATAAAGCCCCGATACTTCTTTCAGGGGTTCCTGGCTCTCTCTCTCTCTCTCTCTCTGGCGCTACTCTACAGCTGCACTAGCTAGCACCTAACGCTATCGTCGACTACTGAAGAGCTCCTATAAATAGTGCTGGTCCGGCCTCAGCTGTGCCTCAATCTCAAAACTTGGCGCCTAAACTGGCGCCCAAACTGAGGCTGGGCCTCAGCGGCCAGTGCCTCACCAAACGGCACGGCCTTCAGGGTCCGGCGCCAAAACGTGTGCCAGGGGCTGTCGTCCTGTCTGGCCTACCAACCTACGGGGCCCTGACTGGGCCGAGATGACACAGGGCCTAACCGGTCCTAAAAGTGCCCCCTCTCCGTGCCCTAGCCTATCTGGTCGGGCCTGTAGGGCCCGTGCGGACTCAGAATGCCACATGTGCTGTGCGAGTTTTTGTGAAACCTGTGGGGATTCTCTGTACTTTATTGCATAAGAATTAGCGTTTTACACAAGGATGCTGCCCGCAGTTCCAGAACCTACAGAACTTCTGCAGCTTCACGAGCAGGCAGCAGAAGTTGGCGGTCATAGGTGCCTGTCTCCATCATGCCAAGAGGTTTACCACCTTACCCAGGGCTGAGGCTGCCTTTTGTGCTTTCTGAAGATCGAATCACAGATGCGGGGGTTTCCCGATGAATTCTTTGACAGGGCTCTCATAAACTTCTCGAGGAAACTTGGAAATAAGTGGCAGGGTGGGACAAGCTTTGGGAGCATAAGCTATGGGCATTGTAGTTTTCTACCTTGTTTGATAACCTCGTTACTCCTTTTTGTTCCTTTTCCTTCCTCAACCCCTTTTCTTTCTGATACAAATGCATCTCGTCCTTCCTGTTGGCATGCAGTCTACGGTACCCTCGGCATCTTTTTTGGTATAGATCCTTTTTCTCAGGCTTGAATTCTCCTCTGAAATTCTTTCCCACTAGACCTTCTATTGTCATAGGCTTTGTGTACCTCAGTGTCCCCCTAGTCCTGGCTCTATTATGGAAATCCTGGTTCCTTTCCTTCCCTCTGGTATGGGTCCTTGTCCTAAACTCCTCCTGCCGTACCTTCTATTTTCTTTTCAAGGCCTGTGTGAACTTTTCGGGGTCTGTGAGTTTTTTTTGGGGATGCGATAGGTTGCTCGATATTTTCTTTGGATCTTCCGAAGGTCTGAACCTAGACATTGTACTGGTGTCTTGAAGTTGACGAAATTGAGTTTTGGGAACGTTTGGCGCAATGATTGGTCTAGTTGGTGACCACACTGACTGTCAAAGGTTTGATGGCAATCACCGTGTCCTCCTTTGCAGCATCAAGACCCCTGAGGATGGCTGGAGTAGCATGTCGAGTCGCGTTACCGCTGATCGGGTTCACGTAGTTGACTTACAGGGATGAGCACCACATAGGATGCTTGATGGTTGTACTGTATTCTATTTGATTCCTAGCTGGTCGTGTTTGAGATAACGTGGTGTGGTCATTGTGGTGTTCTCTCTCTCTCTCTCTCTCTCTCTCTCTCTCTCTCTCTCTCTCTCTCTCTCTCTCTCTCTCTCCCCTTTTCTCCTGCTGTTCTCTCATGTCTCTCGGTTGTCCTTTCCTATGGTTGGATGAAGTAAGGCTGCTTGAAGACATGCTCTAATCTTTCGTCGATGCTATGAGTAGGAAAGAGTCATACGTCTATTCCATTAGAAGAGGAGTGTTAAGTGGATAACATGTGACTTCCTGACTCGCCGGTGGGATAGGAACCAGAGGAACACTCCCGAGAATAGAACAGAGCTAATGCCTTATAGTTGGCAAAAGAGAGAGAAAAAAACAAACGGAAAAAAAAGAAGAAATAGTCTGAAATACTGAAATAGTGGAGCTAATGCCTTTAGTTGGAAAACTGAAAGTAAAAATAGTATGGTGTAAGAAAAAGAGAAAACGAAAGGAAGCTGCACAGATGGGGTTCATGGATGACGAGTCCAGACAAACTTACCACAAGGCAGACTCCAACTGGACGCTCAAGGCACACAATACAAAGGCCCTCGTCAGGGTCATTCTCATTTCCCATGTTATGCTGACTGTACAGGCTCTGATCGAAAGTCAAGCTGCTGTTCACATTGACACTGTTGAGTGTGAATGCTGGGATTGGATTTGAGTCATCCCCTGGCCTAACCCTCTCTGTGGCCCCATGAGCAGGCCCGGTTGCCATTGCCCTGTTGTCCTCTGTTCCAACCCCAACAACCCCCATCTCAAATGGCGAATGAAGATCATTTGCAGTACCTCCTCCTCCATGTCCGTTCATCATGGGTGCAGTCGAGAAGCATGGCAATGATGAGATTGGCGGGCTTTGACGGAACTGGTGACTGTCAGACAGCACACACCGTGAGGTCCCCAGATCTTGTTCCACTGATGCAGGAAGTGCAAAGATGTTATACAGGCCAGTTCCGCCCCACTGTGGGCTTCCCCCCCCAATGATAGCCCTTTCACCAACTGTACATGTGCCAGTAGAGGACCATAGATTGCCAAGGTCGTGATTTAGTGAAACACTGGTGCTCGAATCACGCATATCTACTGTGGCCGCAGCAGCAGCGGCAGCCACCACTGCTGCTGCTGAGACTCCTGTAAGAGAATTGCTGAATGCCCCATTGGGTCCTCCAATATTGCTTGCTGGCATCGACTCCAGTGATGATGAAGAAGCATACAATCGGTCATTGATCCCATGTCTCTGCATTGCAAGTTCAAGAGATGCTATCCCTTGTTGGGCCTGTTGCTGATCCCGCTGTTGTTGCGTCTGTGTCTGTGACATCTGCGGTTGCTGTTGAGAAGTCGGTTGTGACTTTGTTTGACTCTGTGAGACCTGGGTGTCCCTTCCAATTACCCCCACATTATTCTCCAGAAAATGCAGCTGCACTGGTAGTGATGACTGCACACTGCCTGCCACCATGCTGGCCGACGATTGCTGTACCTGAATATTATGGCCCGATTGGCTTGAAGCTCCTGAGGACAAGGCAAGTGGCTGCATGTGACGGGAATCTTGGAACAACAGATGATGCTGACGTGGTGATGGATCAAATGGAAATGGTGACGATGGAGAAGCAGTCAAGGGTGCTTTCTGAGAGATCGACGTGGTTGTAGGAGTTGCAGCTGCAGCTGCTGCTTGCTGCTGCCATGTTGTTGGATGCTGGTCCTCTGTCAATTGACGAAAGCGACGAGACCAGACATCCTCTGCAACATGCTGCTGCTGTGGCTGTGGCATGACCTGCTGCTGGCTAAGCTGATGTGGATGCTGCTGCTCCAGCTGAACTAGTTGGGGCTGCTGCTGCTGCTGCTGTGGCTGCTGCTGCTGTGGCTGCTGCTGCTGTGGCTGTGCATGATGAGGCCGCTGAAGTTGGTTTTGTGATCCCAAAAGCTGCTGCTGTTGCTGCTGCTGTTGCTGTTGATGAAAAAGAAGAAGATGCTGTTTTTGCCTTTGTTGATGCTCCCTCTGCACTTGTTGTTGCTGTTGCTGCTGCTTCTGATGCTGTTGTTGCTGCTGCTGTTGTTGCTGCTGCTGTGAAAGAGGTTGCAGGCCAGCAACAAGCCCAGAAAGCCCAGCCAAGGAACCCCCTCCTCCCCCGGTTGCTCCTCCTGGGTCAGCTATCTGCACCTTTCCAGATGCTGCCACTGTAACGACTGTTGTTGCTGTTGCAACAGACTGATCTGTGAGGCCATTACCAATCAGCGCTTTCCGAGGTGGTGGCTGGTAATGGAATTCCACCCCGCCAATGACATGCTCCCTTTGGACAAACTCTCCTCTTCGCTTACAATCACATAGTTCACGGTACTTATGCACAGCCTGTTCAATCAAAGCTACTGCTGTCTGAACTGTTGTCTTCTTCCCCTGAATACGGAACAACCGCATTGCAGTGGTGTCTCCATCGGCCGTCTCTGTCCATGATTGAACAATAGCCCCAGTTACCTGCCCGATCTGACGTGCTGACACGCCACGTGCACCAATCACGAATCCAGCTGCAAGCAGAGTGACTCTGACCAAAGCTTGTGTACCAGCAGCTTGATAGTCCACATCAACAACACGGTGATCTTCAGCAGGGAGTGTGAGTGGCCCTTCCACAATCCCTGGGCTTGAACCTGGCCCAGCGGGCACAGTTGTTGTCCCAGATCCCTGTGCTGCTGGGCCACTCCCGCTCCGTGGTCCCCTTGCTAACCTCCGACGGTTCTCAATCGCAATCCGGACACTCTGTTGCTGTTGCTGTTGCAGTTGCTGCTGTGGCTGCTGCTGCTGGTTCTGCTGCTGCGGTTGTGGTTGCTGTTGTTTGAGAACCTGTTGTTGCTGCTGCTGATGATGTTGCTCCATTTGGTCCTTGATCTGCTTGGCCCGCTGGATGTCCATCACTTTCGTCTCTTTGTTCTTGCTTGCTGCTGCTGATGCAGCATTCATGTCTTCCTTCCCGGGGACAGCAGATTGATACTGCCCAGGACACCGCAGCCTAAATTGCGCTTGAACAGATAACCGGCTGTTTCACCCTTGTTTTCCCCTCAGCAGGCCAGCTCTCCCGTCGACAGAAGCTTCACTGTCTACTCCCTGGGCATTCTGTCTGCTGCCTTCCACACCATGTTTACGATAGATTTGCACTCCCAACAGATTCTCAGCAAATCAACAGCGCCCACCTTGGCAGCAACTAAGAGGAGCACACAAAACAGTTGAGATCTTCAAGCTAAGTGTGGCAATCGGATCTTGAAGTGTCCATAAACACCTGGTAAATGTCTGTTATCCCTGCATCCATTTGGTAAGGTCCCACTTCCTCTTCCCTCTTTTCCTTCTGGAACTATCACAGTCTTCCATTGAAACTGCCATGACACTATCCTGCACATCGAATAACCCAGACAGGACAACCGTCATTTTGTAGTGGTCTGCCTCCAAAGATCATGAATAAGTTTCTTTATGCCTCTAAGTCAGGTTGTCAAACTGATACCAATATTTTTTTGAATAGCTGCTGCTCTGTGTCCACACAAACCCTTAATTTGAAGGTTAATTTCTCAGATCTAGACTAGCAGAGGTAAGGCACACATTACATTGACCAATTGACTTCCCTCACTTATCAAGTCCACTCCAAGCCTGCCATCCAAAAAGGACGATAGGTAAGTGGTAATAAGGTGAGAAGGTATGCAGGGATGAAAATCAATGAACTTTCAAAGTCCAGGTTTCGCGACAGTCAATCCTCCGGCAGAGAGTAATGAATGCTGTTCAGACTCTTCAGAGGTCCTTTGGTGTAGATAGAAGGGAGTGTTGGCTGGGGCATGTTTTATAACTCTCAATGTAACTTGCCAGTGGATTGGAACCGGAGTGACGCTTTCCAAAATGGACAAGGAGACAGGATCAAAATGGCCTGAATCAAATGTCTGTCAACTTATCAAGTATGAAATTGACGAAATGAGCCAAGTTGAACACGAAAAAAGAAAAGGGCCTGTTTCAATTTCGGGAAAAAAAAGGAAGAAGTACCAAAGAATTTGAAAAAATGCAGCGAGATTAGAAGGTGACAATTGAACCACCAGTATGTTTCCCAGGCAAAGAATAAAATATGTAGCTTGCATGCAGCCGCAACTTTCGGGGCTCGGCCTTCGAAGCAAAATGGCTGGTGGCGCCAGTGGGCAGAGCTTTTCCAACCCTGGAGAAAAGTGCCTTGCAAGTACTGGTGGTTTAACGGTTTTTAACCACCATTCCTGCCCACCGGCTTGTACAAACTGCAAAAACAGACTCCCAGCCGGGCCTGCCCAGCATCAAACGTCACCCACATATGGGTGACAGCGACTTTGATTACAAATGCATTTGGTTTGGTGAAAACATTTTTTTGTGCCCTAAAGGGCCTAATAGGTAATCAGGCTCAGGGTGAGGGAGTGGTAGCGAAGCAAAACCAATAACCCTAACAGATAGACCATAAAGGCGGGCACTGCTCGATGAAAGGGTGACACCATGCAGGGTCGACCATGAAAGGGGAGCCTCGAATAGGGTGGAGGTATGCCTAACTGAAGGCATGCAATGGCCGACACTAGAGTGATGAGGGATGCAGTGGGTGAGGGAAGCATGCACACAACTTACTGCCTGGGGGAGGGAGCTAGATTTGGGAGCAGGGAAGCCAAGATACAGCTACGGTCCAAATGTCTATGCAATATCAAGGGAGAGCCCAACTCAGGGAGACCCAACTAAGTGAGAACCATCATGCGGCACATGCAAGGGAATATACAGGGTAGGGTGGTAGCGTGAGGGAGTCACGTCCAAAGTAGTTGAAGCGGATAAGATGGCTGAAGTCGAGAAGGTAGTTGAAGTCGTCGAAGTGGTCAATGACATCGACGAAGTAGGAGTCTAGTCGATGTCAGCGGATAAGATGGCTGAAGTCGAGAAGGTAGTTGAAGTCCTCGAAGTGGTCAGTGACATCGACGAAGTAGGAGCCTAGTCGATGTCGAAGCAGAGCCGCAAAAAGCTGGCATCCTGAAGGAGATGATGGTGGAGTACCTGAAGGTGTGAGTCAGTAGGAGGATGGAAGGTGATCAGAGTGTAAGTCGTCGAGACGTGGAGGGCGTCGACGAGTGCGTTGTGGACACTCGGATGCGTCCATGTGCTGCTAAAGAACGGCCTCGAAGGGAGCGGGCTCGTCCTCAACAATCTTCTCTGTTGGAGGAGGAGGAAGAGGGTCAGTCGACTGAGTAAGAGCAGATGTCTCAGTACGACGAGCACGGTCATATGCACACACCAACATCCGGGCGTGCTCCAAGTGCTCGAGGGGTTCCCAAGTGGCCTCCTCATCAGGATAGCCCTTCCAACGCACAAGGTACTCGATGCGTGGAGGGGCTATGTTCCCCCCTGGCCGCGATCGAGTTCGGGCATGGCCGGAACCCCCCCGGCCATGGCCGCTCCGGTCATGAACTTTCGGCCGCGGCCGAGGCCGGTCGGGGAGGGGTTTTTAGGAGCGGGGAGCGGGTTTTGGGTGGGGAGGGGGCGGGGCACCCCGTCGAAGTGGCAGACCGACAAAAAAATAAAAAACGGGGGGTCCCTAAACATGGGTCTGGCAGGGTGGGCCGGGAAAATTCATGCGTCCCCCGAATTGCGGTTCAGCAACGCAGGTGCGTAGAGGGGAGGGTCGGCAACACATGAAAAAAAACAAAATGCGGCCCCTGCGGGGACGGCTTCAAGGGGG